ACGGTAAGACATAATACCGCCAAGCAGTTGATCTCAATGATGTAAACTCGTGGTACTTTTAAAGAGATTTACTAGGAGAGATCAAGAATACTGCATATCGAAGGGAATGAGGTAAAGCCTACTACGTTAGAGTCCTTGTAATGATAATCCTACCTTGTTGACTGGAGATCACAAGATCTTGGTTCAAAGGGACAACTAAGTTATGAGGATTCCATGAAGCACTTAGGAAATAATTTCCTAACTCATTCCTATGATACCAAAGTGCTTTCTGCAGAGTTGGAAGAGGTTAAGATAATCTTTTAATGATTCCTATATCTTGATTAAGTCAAGTGGAGTAGGGCAGAATACTCTTTATAGGAGGTCACCTATGTAAGTGTGAAGTGGGGCCGCTTCAATGAGAATTATTAAAAGGCTTAAATTCTCAAAACACTTGCAGAACCAAGAAGGGTTCAAGGCCAAAATGAACCAAGTCATGAGAACAACGACGGAATAGGGAAGACATCTGTGTGAGTATTGTTGTCTTGGCTTACACCAAAGGCTGAATGGTTCAAGACATCACGTTCACCAATTAGCCGAGAAAGTCCGATAGTATTTCACTAAGGGAGGTTCAAAGCCAGAAGCTACCTTACCTGATGTAGTGTTTTTCCGCTTACTCTCTACAATGCATAATGCATCATCATTGCATTGCATGATACTTATGTACTCGAATTTTCATTCATGTGGGGGATTGTTGGAAATTGTGTTTATTAATAAACCAATTCAAAAATGAATGAGAAATTGTGGTTTTGGAATAGTGGCACCTGTTTGGAAGGTTGCATGGTTTGGCTCAAATCCTTTCATCACACCACTCCATTCTCTATATAAAGGACCCCTTGGATGACTTTGAGAGTACACCATTTGCATATTAAGCATTCATTCTTCTCAAAATTGCAATTCTCTTCTTCTTCATCTCTTTTCATATATTATATTCCTTGTAGAGGGGAAACTCCGTCGAAAGTTTGCCGGATTTGTGGTTTGAAGTGCTACTACCACAAATCGAATCCGTTGTATCTTGGGAGACAATTGCCGCCAACCGTGAGTACCGTAGCGGGGCAATATTGTCTTAAGGAGAGAGTGAATACACTTGCCTCGGATTTAATCTTCATTTTCTACTCCTTCTTATTTTAATTTTCTTATTTGGTTTTATGGTTTTGTACTACATTTCCATTTCATAAATTTGTGATTTAAAATGTACTCACAAACAACCATCTTTACCGCTCACAAATAAGCCCGGTTACCAACAGGTTCGAAACTCTATTATACTTTATTACTTGTTCTCGATCTCGTTCACTTGTGGAAAATCAAACGATCAGTGGATTAAAAAGAAGGTTCAAAAGACGACTTGGCATAGTGAGGTTAAGATTATTGCTCTTGTTAGCACCGTTTACCACTTATGGACTGCATGAAATAGAAAGGTTTTTTAGGATCTTAGATCATAGGTGGATAGCATTGTTAGACGGATTAAAATGCTCATATAAAAATTATGTTTTTTTATTTATTTATTATTTTTTATATCCGTATGTTTTGATTCACTTTGAGTCTATGGCATTAAGTCACTAGATCTTCTCGTTTGTACATCTTTTCTTTTGTTTGCTTGGGTATGCTTGATGTATTTGTTTACATACTTGACTTTTGCTTACCCGGATATGTCGGGTGTGCTTATAATTGTACTTCATCTTTGATTGTTCCGGCATGCATGATATACTTGTAAGTTTTTAGGAATAATTGCAGCAGAGGCCCCAAATCTTTTAAATACTAGCATACTTTTTTCAAACCTTTGATTTGTTACAACCGTCATCCATAACCTTTTCAAACGTTGCAGCTGAGACCCCAATGGATGGAAAACATCTAATTCAATGTCAGCAGACAAAAAAATTGAGTTTGACTACATTTTTTTAAATATTTTTATGAAGGGTAGAATATTAACTTTTTATTTATCAAATTAACTAATTACATTAATTAAATTAAAAAACAAAAAAAAAAAGATAGTAAATCTATAAACCCATATACAAGATCGTCTCTTTGGTGGAGTAGTAGCACTCCTCTGTCTACGACTCCTTCGTAGGCAGTGGCTCCTCATCTACAAGCCCGTCTCTTTGGTGGAGCAGTAGCACTCCTCCGTTGACGACTCCTCTACACGTGGCGGCTCTTCGTCTAGGAGCTTGTCTCTCCGGTGGAGCAACAACACTCCTCTGTCAACGACTCCGCAGGCGGCAACTCCTCATCTACAAGCCCAATTTTCCCTTCAATATTCTCCAAAGGACAGCAAATCAAAGGCATTTTTTCACCAGATTTCTCAAAAGTGCTCCCAACAATTTTCACTTTTTCGAGAAAATTACTTATCTTCACTCATTTATTACATGTTGAGCTCCAACATTTTCGAATGCCATGGATTCAACATCGTGGACAAAGTTTTGAGCTTCTGGCTTAATCGAGGATTAAGTTCCCAGAAAATTGTCTTGATAAGGCGTCGTTGGCCCTCGAAATTCACAATCACATGTGCACTGGCTGTGCCTTGTCCATCTTTGGGCATCAGATTCTTGGTCAATTTAACTCAGGGAGGAATGTCAAATTCAATTTGAGAATTCATTTTGTAGAAATTGATTTGGAAAAATCCGATTTGAGAAATAAATTTTTGAAGAAGAAAGTGATTTTGGTGTTGGGTGACTGGAGAGTAAAGGGTGAAGGGAGAGGAGGTGGTGGTGATGACAGTTGTGGCGATTTTGGTTAGTGTGGGCTGGGTAAGTTGGAAAAAAGGTGGGAGAAAGAAGATATAGTTTTTATTTTTCCTTTTTTCTTTTTTTTCGATTTTTATATTAATTAATGTAATTATTTTATTTGGTAAATAGAAAGTTACTATTTTGCCCTTCATAAAAATATTGAAAAATGAGATCAGACTCAATTTTTTGGTCAACTAACGGTGAATTGGATATTTTCCATCCATCAGAACCTTAGCTGCAACGTTTGAAAAGATTAGGAGTGACGGTTGCAACAAATTAAATGTTTGAAAAAAGTTTGCTAGTATTTGAAAAGTTTGAAACCTCTGTTACAATTATCTCTAATTTTTTATCAATATATTACACATTTATCGATTAAAAAAAAAAAAAAAAGCATGACTCTGAAACGTGAGGATTGGGGATAGTGAGTCATCAAAGTCTCCCTTAATTCCAGAGCTTCCTATTGATAGGGATTGATTGGACATATTGCATTTTTTTCTTTCTCCCCCGTCCTTGTCCTTATCCTCATCCTCTTTCCCCTCTCCATTTTCTTCTCTCACCTCAATTTACCCCCGTCAGTACTTGACCTCGTTTTATCAAATTTGGTGTTCGCAACCTTTATCCTTTTTTTTTTTTCCCTTAAAGACGATTTTAATTGATGGTCTTCGTTCAAAATTGCTGTTATAAAGTATTAAAATTTCTTTGTGAAAGATTAAGCTCATTTGATGGTGTTATTTGAAAAAATTAATATTTGCAGCAGTAATTTTTAAATCAGGTTTAAAAGGTTAAAAAAAAAAATTCGTGCTTAACGTGAATAATATTTTATTGTGTGAATCTATGATTGTTAATGAGTAAGTAGAAAAATAATTTTCAAATAATGGTTGTCAAATAGAGACTAAGTCATGTTAACCTCCACTTTCTTTTTTTCTTTTTTCTTTTTTTAAATTTCAATTTTAATGTAATCCATTATTTTTATCAACTTTTTAATTATATATTTTATAAACTTTTGTCAAAATATTTTAAAAATATAATTTTTAACTAAACGAAACAAAGGTTAAATATAAGAATGATAAAAAATAAATTTTGGCGACTAGACCGAAATAAAGGTAAATTGTTATTATTTTTATTCATTTTGAATAAGAATAAGAGCATGTTTTGCGAAGCTTAAACCATTTTTTTTTTTTTTAAACTTGTCAAACATAAATTTGATTCATATATTTTTTTAGACATATTTCTTACTACACAAACTTCCAATAGTCATTACATAAAAACTATTTTTTCTATATACTCGTTTTCAACCCCTGTTTGTTTTCCATTCTTCATCCATTAAAATGAAAAATATGATCGTTATCCATCATATCAAGTCATCAAATTTAAATTTCTATTTTTTGTATGGGGCCAATAACAGCTATATTTTTAATTCTCACTTTTATAAAAATGTGAAACAAACGTCCCCTCAATAATGAATTCATATAATAAAATATTCTGTACGTAAATAAAAAAAAATTCTTACTTTTTAACTACACAATCTCCTAAAAATCACTATTTCAAATATTATTTTTCTCAAATAATGATCATAAACCGGTGGCTTATAATCTCAAGTTTTGTCTAACAAACTCTACTTATACTATAAACAAGGTTATATAGCAATTGTTCCCCCATGGCACATTCAAGTTGGCGGAACAATCACATTGGGGGCTCTGGAACCAAGCGTGGGGAGTTCGATTCCTGGTGGGAACCTTTGATCCAATAAAGGAGGAATTATTGGTGGATTAATCACCATGGAGGAGGCTTCCTTTGGGGAAGGAGTAAAAGTCATGTGAGGACCTGGGAACCAACAAGGGCACATCCTGCGATTTACCTCCCTGGGCAGTTGAGGGGCCGGAGGTTCAGGGACGAGGATATAGTCTGGCACAAACTGGGACACCTCGTTAAAAAAAAAAAAAAAAAGGTTATATAGCAACTGTTTGATCTACATTCTTTGAAAAAAATACGTTCTTAAACAGTGTTTTGACATTATTTTAACTACATATTTTTTAATAAAATAATATTACACCCAATTTTAAAATTTTTCTTTATTTTTTAACCACATATTTTTCATCAATACATTATTCAAAAATTTATTCTTATAAAAGGATGGCCCTCAAACAAGGGCATAATAGTAACTTCAGAATGTGTTACAGTCCAACAAGAAAAAATTCCACTGCACCCATGGAAGAATACATTCACCTGTCTCTCTCTCTCTCTCTAAAATTCATCAGTTTCTCCCTCTGCTCATCTTCTGCTGAGTGATGGGTGTGAACCCTCGTTGCTCCAACGTTTCCCATATCAACATTATGCTCATAATCACTTTTTTTTCGTCATAAGCCATAAATTTTCACTTTTTTGCAACTCATTCTTTCTTTTCGCAAAAAGTATGTTACTACTTTAACTTCCCTCAAAACCATCTTTTTAGAAAGTAGAAGCTATGGAGGATCCCAGGGTTTGTGATGGTTCAAACATGAATAATGTTTTATGCAAAAATGAAAGGCTTCTTTGCTCTTCCGAAGTACTTGATTCTCTCTGGATTACCAATTCTTCCTCTTCTTTTCATGGTAATGACTTTTTTTCTTTGACAATTCTGAATTTACTACTTTGTTTGAAAGAGATTTTTTAGAATGGGATCAAATTTTTGTTGAGGGTTTTGTTTAAATTGTTTGCAACATCAGGTTTTACACCGTTTATGTAGTATTTTGTTAATAATTTGTAGTGATTATGTGATTCAAGGCTTTTGATAGACTTTTCGGAATTGAAGATCAACATTATTATAAGGCCAACTGTAAAGTTTTGAACACAGAGGTCAATTCTTTCTGATAATGTATGAATTTGGGCAGTTAAAGTTAAAAATTGAAAATTTTCCATGGTTGCTCTGTTTTTTAGGATCTACATCCATGGTTAACTTTGAAAATGTTCAAGGAGTTGAAAATACGGAGAGGTCATTTTTCCCAGAGATTGATAAACAAGAAAATGGCGATGACGATTATCAATCGGAGAAGAAAAGGCGTCTCATGCCCGATCAAGTTCAGTTTCTTGAGAAAAGTTTTGAGGTTGAAAATAAGCTTGAACCAGAGAGAAAGCTCCGGCTTGCTAAAGAACTTGGATTACAGCCTAGGCAAGTTGCAATTTGGTTCCAAAACCGACGAGCCCGGTACAAAACGAAGCACTTGGAGAAAGAGTATGATTCATTGAAACAAAGCTTTGATAAACTTAAGGCAGATTATGACAGCCATTTCAAAGAGAATGAGAAATTGAAAGATGAGGTAAATTTTTTACTTGGTTACAGAATTCAATTCAGTTCACCCTTTAGTTGGAACTAAATATTTCATTTTCGAATAGGTTCGTTTGCTCTCGGAGAAGTTACTTTCGAGGGATAAAGGAAAGCGAAAACCCGAGCCATTGGACAATGCAAAACCAAAGAAGCCAAATTTAAGCCGGGCCTGTCCAATTATACCAGTGGGGTTCTCTAAGCAGGAAGATGCTAGTTCTGCTAAAAGTGATGTTTCTGACTCGGACAACCATTCGATGTTGGTCGAACTGGCCGATTCTTCGCAGGTTTTCGAGCAAGACCCGTCTGATTTTTCTCAAGATGAAGATGACAGTTTAAGCAGAAGCCTTCTTCTGCCATTCCCAAAAGTTGAAGCTGAATGTTATGGTGATCTACAGCCAAATTCATGCAATCTGGGATTCCCTGTTGAAGCTCAAGGCACATGGCTCTGGCCTTATTGAGAGTTCATAATTGGCACAATTATGTCTTTTTGGCTACAATTTAATCTTATGTTATGCAGTAATCTCTTGTGAATAAGATTAGAATGAATAATTAGACTCTTAGCTTCGTTCTTTGATGTTAAGTCTGCTATTTGTTTGCTCAAAAAATACGATGAACTTGTATTGAGCCAATCTTCTGTACACCAGAGATAAAGCTCGCCTTGGGGTCATTTTGAAGCAAAACTGCCCTGCTCTCTGTCCCGGCATGTGGCTCCTTGGAGCGCCCCTCCAATGCACGACGCCCCTGTTTTCAACCCTGTCCTCAAGCGGGGACGGGAGCTTTATTCCAAAAACAATGATGTTATAGAGTGTTGGGGAGCTGTAATTTTTAACCAAATTAAGTGAAATTACCAATGTGCCCTCCACATAAAATTCATCTCCTTTAAAACGTGGCAATTTTGATAATTTGGTAATATGTGCAGTCAATAATTACTGCAAAAGTGGACCTCACCTACGTGTGAAACGGTGAAAAAAATGTACGACACAGTAATTTTCACTTTTAATTTCAAGCATAACTTCACATGAATACACTCACTGAGGTCGTAATCAGATTCTCTGTCACATTTGAACAAACAATACAAGTAGTCGCTTTCAAGTTACATTTGTAGATAGATGAAAAGTGCACGCGTCTCACAAGTTTGTGACTGCAAATTTGGAAGTTGGACTCCCTAAACTCTTACTGTACCGAATTTGATACTTCCAGAAGGGAAAACTGAAACCAACCCAAGAAACATAAAAAATTGATTCAGGGCATATTTGCAAATTTTCTTCTAGAAGAGTTTTCGAGACAGGTATATTAGGCTAGCTTTTTTTAAACTCATGCTCGTATCTTTGATTGTTCAGTATGAAAAATGTTGTACATTACTTATTAAAATTTGAAAAATATTATACATTACTCATTGAACTTTAAAAAATATTGTACATTACTCATTGTAAATTCGATATTTTTCAAAATTCAATAATTATGCTAGTGAGTAACGTACGACATATTCCAAAGTTCAGTGGTCAAAACCCTACATTTTAAATTTTAGTGAGTAATCTAAGACATGAACTTAAGTTCAATAAGTAATCGAAGACATTGATCTAAGTTTAATGATCAAAATTTGACATTTTAAATTTTAGTGATCAATTAAAGATATAGACCAATTTTCAGTGACCATTGGATCAATTAACTCTGTATTTTGAAGTGCAGCCAAACCGATCCTCAATTTTCTTTATTTTCCATCCATCTTTCCATGCCAGGACCATTAAAAAAATGCCAATTAAAAAGAGAGGTGATGACTGATAACACAGTTTTGAATCTCTAACCAATAGGAGACAGAGAAATGGCCTTTAAAGTCAATTGTTTGAAAGGGTTACTTCAATTTTCTTATAAAGGCAGTGACTTTTTTTATTTTTTATTTTTATTCTGAGAAGATATGATTTTTTTAATCTTAGATGCTGACATTTTGTCATCCAAAAATAAAAAATTGCAGGATTATGGACTGTACCAATTTTTAAAATTGTTTGTGAGAATCAAGATCTGGCATGAATATCTTCTTGCTGATGAAATGGTGTTACATTGCTTAAATTATAATGGTCTAATTAATTATTTTAATCTTTGATTATGTTATTTTTGAATACATTACCTTTGTAGGTAGCTATAAGTGATAAAAGTAGGCTCCAAGACTGAAGTTAAAAATAAATTTATTAAATATATGAATTGATAAAATTGTGAGTTTCATAAAATATGTAATTAACACTAATTGTTAATTTCAACTTAAACGTTTATCAATTTTTTAAGTTATACCAAACATGGACTTAGTCACCCCACAAAAAAAGAAGGAAAAATGAAACAAAAAAGAAAATTCTCACATATCATAGTCCATATAGGGCAATCCATTAAAATTAGTCGTTAATTTCAACTTAAATGTTTATCAAAATTTTAAGTTACACCAAACTAGGACTAAGTCACCCCGAAAAAAAAATAAAAAATAATAAAATCATAGTCCATATAGGGCAAGCCAAGAGGTTGACAAGTCACATTTGGGTAGTTCTAATATAAATGATGAAAATGTGCAGAAACCCATGGAAGGAGACTCTTCTACTACACAGTTCAGCAACATTGAATTGTCCCTTTCCAAAATTTAAATGCATGCATATGTACATTTCATTGGTTCTTATAAATTATTCAGATTTTGATCCATTACTTAGTTTTGGATTTTTTTAGTAAAAAAACAATAAATAATTAAGAATAAACGTACAAATTTAGCTTGAAACATTCGTTACGATAAGTACATTTCATTGGTTAAATTATAATTCATTTAGTTTTGGATGATTTTGGATAAAAACACTAATAATTTAAAATAAACGCGCAAGTTTGACTTGAAACATTCATTACGTTAAAAATATTAATCACCTATTTATCTGTTGTTTCCATTTGAACATGATTGATCAATGTGCAATGTTTAATATTTTCGTTGTTGATAGAGTTCAAATGATCTTGATAAATTATAAATATAAATAATATTTCACTAAATGAAAGTAATGCTACAAGTAGACAAAAAATATATTTAATCATTATGAATGAAAAATTCGGTAATTAATTTTATTGTCAGTAAGAAATAAAAACTTTTAGTATTTAATTTTTATCATCTTATTTGATGCATCTTGAATCACTAGTAAATATCTTGTACCATAAATGTGGTTGCTAACAAACTAGAAGTCTTCTTCAAATTAACATATTTGAGATCAAGGAGAGGGATGTTTGTGCTATTTTTAAAAGGTACGGGAGGTTTTCAACAGTTACGCTAATAGTTAGGGATGTGTGTGTGTGTATTGAATATATTTTTGGATTTTGATATTTGTAAACCGAGCTATACAGCTCGATCAGCCCCCCATTATAAGGGGGGTTGTACACTGAGCAAAACCCCCCTTTTGCTATGTTTATTGGTACCACCCAACTCTTCTGAAAATTCATGTACTTTTAAGATCACACATCAATTGTCTTGCCTTGTCTAATTATGTATCAAATATGCCACAATTTTGAATTATTAGATTTTGATCAACACAAATAAGCTATAATCACGTCAATTTTCTTGTTAATCTCAACAAAAATTTCTCAACGATTTTGAAGAACTCGTTAATAATAATCTTCGTAAACTACAATTTAATCCGAATAAAAATTTCTTACCTCTTTTGAAGAACTCTTTAAAGGGAAGAAATAACTTAACATTCTTTTATATTATTTTTTTGTGTATTTCAATTTTTCAGTTAATATGAATTCAGATGAAATTCTGACCATATATTAAAAAAGAAGAATCGATCATTAAAATATATACTAAACTATTAATATAATTAAGAAAGCTCATCGCAATTTTTTTTTTGGAATTTTCGTTCCTCTATGCCCCTGTTTGGTCTCATTTTTCGAAATGAAAATGGGTAAAATAATTTATTTTTTTTAAAAAAATGATTTGTTGAAAAAGAAAGAAAAATTTTCGATAAACTTGTAATATTATTTTATGAAAAAATGTGATTGAATAAATTGATATTTAATTATTACAATTTACAATTTACAACTCAATAAATTGATATTTAATTATTACAATTTACAACTCAGTAAATTGATATTTAATTTATAAAAACCCAAATGGTGTATTAGGGAAACAATTTGATTTCCCCACATCGCAACCTGCATATGGAGGCTTCATATCCACCGTCCACGTAGCCAATAGCAAGTCTTCGTCAAAAAATGACATCATACCCTATTGAAGCGTACACCACGGAACCTCTGAAGCCCATGGGTCCACATGATAGTGACCGGCCCAGCAACGTGCCGGCTCACTAAGGTGAATGGGTCAAGAAGCGCTGGGGCCCACTTCTCACTTTCACTTGTATTCAGACAAGAATGTAGATGGGAAAATGTCTTGTAGTTATTATTGGGCCCAGTGTTCGGGGCTTAGTCATTGTGATTAGGATTGGGCCTTTGTTTGCCACTTGACACAATTGTTTTCTCTCGTAATTTAGCCCTGGTTTAATAACCATTAATTTCAAATTCTTTTTTCTACGTGCGCATTTTCAACCATATATTTAAATAATAAAATATTATATACGCCCCCCTGTGCATATCCCAATGGTGCAAAGGACAGGAGTGAGGTAGTCTCAACCTTGTTGAGAGCCGCAGTGTAAGAGTTCGATTCCTGAGATATAGAATTGGACTATTTGTGATCACCAGTGTGCTCAGGCAAGCTCTTGTTTCCTGGCCTGTTTGTACACATTCCTTGATTTACCTCTCTCAGGATGATCCAGGGGAGGAGCGATGGGGGCTCGCAAGGTTGGGGCTCAACATTTTTTTAATAAAATATTATATATGTAAATCCAATTTTTTTTCTACTTTTTAACCACACATTCTCGTAAAAATCACTATTCTAAACTCTGTTTTCCCAAAACAATGGTTGTCAAGTAGGGATTAAAATCAAATTTTTAGTAATTTTTTTTATAAAAGTTGATAAAACGTGCGATTAAAAGTTGAGAATCTCATAAAATGTATAGTTAAAATTAATTGTTGACTTTAACTTAAATTAAAATTTAGACTTTTAATTTCACCAAACAAAGACTTAATGACAAAAATGTACGTAGGGTAATAGGTGGGTATTATATATCCTAGATTAGAAATAACCGTCGACACTAAATTTTTATTTAGAACAATACTTTTTTTTTTTTTTTTTTTTTTTTTTTTTTTTTTTTTTAAACATTTTTTTTTTTTTTTTTTTTTTTACAATTTTTTTTTTTTTTTTTTTTTTTACAATTTTTTTTTTTTTTTTTTTTTTTACAACGATTCTTTATTGTTGATATATTTCGAATTGGGTGTAAAAGTAGTTTGTGTAATTTCTTGACTATTCAGTCTTTAGGAAGTTAACTCTCGATTGTTCCGCAAGAGTCGTTATAGCTGCCCACCTAATCCTTAGGTTATGTTTGATAGGAACTTTAAAAAGTCAAAAATTGATTTTAAGATTAATAAGATGTTTTTGACTTTTTATGAATATTTTTTAAAAATACTTTATGTGATTAGAAGAGTTTTCAAACAAATTAATTTA